TCCTGTGGGTGGACTTTTTGGTGGAGAATGGCACTGGTGGGGGCGTGGCCGTCACTCGCCCGGTCACATGGCAGTTGGAGTACCCCGGCCAGGCCCCCGAAGCTGAGAAGGACAAAATGGTGTGGGAGATCCTGGTGTCGGAGCGGGACATAAGAGCCCTCGTCCCACTGGCCAAGGTAAGGGTGGGTCAGGGTGGCCGGTCAGGCCGGGGGCCAAGGGAGGTGAAGAGCTGGGGCTGAGCTCCCCTATACCCCCAGGCTGAAGAGCTGGTGAACACGGCGCCACTGACTGGAGTGCCTCGGAGGGTCCCCGTGCGCCTCGTCACTGTGGACAGTGGGGGGGCCCTGGCGGAGGTGACAGAGCACATCGGCTGCGAGTCGGCCAACACGCAGGTGCTGCAGGTGAGTGGCCCGCGCCTGCTGCCACTGGAAGTAGGCAGTGCCCCCTCCCTCCCCATTCAGGCCCCCGAGAAGTCAGCTTCGTCACACCAGAAACCCCCAGACTTCAAAGCCTTCTGTTCCCACCCGCTCTCTCCAGCCTCAAGTGGGAGCTAAGTCACCCCACCAGCCCTGGCTCAGGCACTCTCGCGTTGGCTGCTGCGCTGGCAAATGAACTGAGGTGGGGAGTCGAGAGCAGGGGCTTGGGGGTCAGGTGGTTTTAGTCTGAAACCCCTCTTCATTCTCAGCTGGCTCCGTGATCGTGGAAAGTGTCTGAGCCTCGCCGAGCCCGAGGCTCCTCAGCTTTAAGCTGGGGCTCTGCCTTTGGGTTGTTGTAAGAATTAGAAGCACCGTCAGGCAGTACCCAGCAGAGAGCAAGAGCTGAGAAAAGGGCAACTACTGCTGTTATAATAATGTAATAATGATGTACTGATAAAAAATAATGATAATTATTATTATTGGAGCCTCTTAATGACCTGGTTGGTAAAAAAAGGGCAGGGCAACTTTCTCCATTTCTGAAGTCTGAGAGGGGAAGCCTGCAGCGTCTGCACACATCCTGCCTCCAGAGTGGGGACGGCGTCTTTCCCCGCTGGGGCTGACGTTTTCCTCTGTGTGTGCAGCTCCTACCTGCAGGCCCTCAGGTGCCTCTGCCCACCCACCTGTTGCCATTTGCCAGGTGGTTCTCGCAGCAAAGTCAGAGGCTAGCATTAATAAGGAGCCAAATTTGTGGGTTCCAACCATCCTCTGCCAGGAGAAAGATTCTCCTGTATATGAATGCTGGTTTCCCTCCCTATCCCTACGTAGAAGGTTCCGATTTGGTTTTGATTTGGTAGATTAATTGGGGGTTGAGAATGCTATTAACATGCAAAATTTTTTGAGTATTTCCAGACCCACAAAATAACCTACCAAATAAGAATGTTCTCCTTTCAGATAGCTGGGGAACCCTGTAACCAGCTTCTCCAGCTGAGCTCCAGGCAGACTGCAGGAATGGACCCTAGATGCGTGGGGAAATCTTGATCTTAGGACACATGTCAACAATATATAGTGCATCCTTTTGGCACAGTCAGAATGCCCCGTCTGGTCCACACCTGGCTTCTGGAGCCCCGTCCACCCTGTACTCTCTGCCCCCCTACAGGTGTCTGAGGCCTGTGATGCTGTGTTTGTGGCTGGCAAGGAGAGCCGGGGCGCACGTGGGGTGCGGGTGGACTTCTGGTGGCGCCGGCTGCGGGCCTCACTGCGGCTGACCGTCTGGGCCCCGCTACTGCCCCTGCGCATCGAGCTGACTGACACGACCCTCGAGCAGGTCCGAGGCTGGAGAGTGCCCGGCGCCGCTGAAGGGTGAGTGGAGGGAGGCCTGGGGAGCTGGCAGGCCCTGGCACAGCCATGCTGGGACTATGAGAGGGTGTGGGGAACACAGCCATGGGCTAGGCCTGGAGCCTGAAAACCCGCCCTGATGCTGGCTGCTCCTTCTGCCCATGCCAGCCCTTCAGCACCCAGGCGCTGGTCACTCTCTGAAACTGCTGAGCTCCGGCTCTTTCTCCCCCTTCGCTGCCTCACTTCTCTCAAAGCACCGATCAATCGCCACTACTCTGCATCATCTGGCCAATCTGGGCTGCCTGCGCCCGCCACTGCCTTCCCTAGAATGTAAGCCTTGAAGGCAGGCGGGGTTTCTGCTCTGTTTACTGCTGTGTCCTCAAACCTGAGATGAAACCCAGCTCCGTAAATATTGAGGGGGGTCCTCCTACCAGAGCCTCAGAGTGAGGTGGCCCCAGCCTCTGTAATCGAAGCTCCCAGACCCTGCAGAGAGTGAGCACGCCTACCCCTCAGCCACGGTGCTCCCTTTAGGACCAACAGGCGGGGGAGAGCATCTTGATGGACAGGCACAGGCACCAATTAGGACCGGGGCCGGGCTCCGAGCCAGCAGGTGGAAGGGCCTCAAGCCCCAGGTGCGCCCCAGGAGCTGGGTGACTCCAGTGGGCGGCGCCCTCGCGGCCCGGGCGGGCCCTGCGCTGACACCTGCCCCCCATGCACCCTCCAGGCCTGCGGAGCCCGAGGCTGCGGCGCCAGCCGAGGAGGCCGAGAGGAGAGCCCGGGGCTGCCGCCTGCAGTACCAGCGCGCGGGGGTGCGCTTCCTCGTCCCCTTCGCGGCCCACCCGCTGGACGGCGGCCGCCGCCTCACCCACCTGCTTGGCCCTGACTGGCTGCTGGACGTGACCCACCTTGTGGCGCCGCACGCCCGCGTGCAGGACCCACGCGTGGCCTCGCTGGAGGGTGGCCGCGTTCTGGTGGGTCGGGAGCCTGGCGTGACCTCCATCGAGGTGAGTAGACCCCCTGAGGAGGGCGTCGGTGGCCTTGTTATTCATGGCAGGTACCGGGTGTGAGTGAAGGACCCAGGGTTTACCTGGGAAGGTCCAAGCCCAGTGGAATTGGGGATTGGGTGAGATAGGGTGGCTGTGTCATGGGGGGCTCCTGTAGTGTGAAGGGTGGGGTTGGGTATATGGGGGCCAGGCCTGAAGAGAAGAGAATATCCCTTGCTGTGGCGGTGGGTCCAGATATGTATAAGACTTATGGTTGCCTGCAAAGGGTAGAAGAAAGCAGCCTCCCTTGGTGGCAGTGCTGGGGTCTCAGCAGGGAGAGGCTGAATGTGAGACCCCCACTGCCAGCTCCCTTTCGCCCTCAGGTGCGTTCCCCGCTGTCTGACTCCATCCTGGGGGAGCAGGCGCTGGCCGTGACGGATGACAAGGTCTCGGTGCTGGAGCTGCGGGTCCAGCCAGTGATGGGCATCTCACTGGCTCTGAGCCGGGGCACTGCCCACCCAGGGGAGGTCACAGCCACATGCTGGGCACAGTCAGCCCTGCCTGCCCCAAAACAGGTGACAACTGGGGATCAGGGGGATAAGGTCTACCTCAGGGGGCTGGGGGTTGATGACACCTTAGGGTTTTCAGAATGAGGACTGACTGCCTGTGAGGTAGTGAGCTCTCTGCGGCCGGAGGTAATCAAGCAGTGGCTGGCTGGAGTGTGGCAGTGGGAGGTTGATTAGCCGGCTCTAACTGAGGCCCTCCCAACCACTCAGACCCCGGGGGCTGCGTGCAGGCAGGTGATTGACGCACGCCCCCTCTCTCCCTGTGTTCTGTCTATCCGCCCGTGTCTGTTTTCTCTCTGGTCTCTCCTCCGTGTGGCCTGTCTCTGTGGGAGTGGTCTCTGTGTGCATGCGTGCCCTCGCGTGTCTCTGCCTGTGTCCGTGTGCCCCGCAGGAGGTGGCCCTCTCCCTGTGGCTGTCCTTCTCTGACCACACCCTGGCCCCCGCTGAGCTCTACGACCACCGTGACCTGGGACTGTCTGTCTCGGCCGAGGAGCCTGGTGCCATCCTGCCAGCTGAGGAGCGGGGCGCCCAGCTCGGGGTGGTGGTGAGTGGGGCGGGCCCCGAGGGGCTGCCCCTGCACGTGGCTCTGCACCCGCCCGAGCCTTGCCGCCGGGGCCGCCACCGTGTGCCCCTGGCCTCTGGCACCGCCTGGCTGGGGCTGCCCCCGCTCCCCACCCCGGCTCCTGCTCTCCCATCCAGCCCTGCCGGGCGCTCACCAGCCACGGAGGCCAGCAAGGGTGGTGAGCGGCAGGCAGCGGGCAGTGTGGGGGGCAGCGAGGGAGTGAGGGGCAAGTTCGAGCCGGCAGAGGAGAAGGCCGGGGAGACGGAGGCCAGGGAAGAGGAGGAGGAGGAGGAAGAGGAGGAGATGGTCCCTGCCCCTCAGCGGGTCACGGACCTGGAGCTGGGCATGTATGCCCTGCTGGGCATCTTCTGCCTGGCCATCCTCATCTTCCTGGTCAACGGTGTGGTCTTCGTGCTGCGCTACCAGCGCAAGGAGCCCCCCGACAGCGCCCCTAACCCTGCCTCCCCCCAGCCCCACAACTGGGTCTGGCTGGGCACGGACCAGGAGGAACTGAGCCGCCAGCTGGACCGGCAGTCCCCTGGCCCCCCCAAGGGGGAGGGGAGCTGCCCCTGTGAGAGTGGGGGAGGAGGGGAGCCCCTGGCCCAGGCTCCAGCCCCCGCCCCCGCCCCTGCTGGGGGCACCACCAGCTCCTCCAGCACCCTGGCTCGGAAGGAAGCTGGGGGGCGGCGGAAGCGGGTGGAGTTTGTAACCTTTGCACCAGCACCCCCAGCCCAGCTGCCGGAGGAGCCCGTGGGGGCCCCTGCCGTGCAGTCCATCCTGGTGGCAGGCGAGGAAGACATCCGCTGGGTGTGTGAGGACATGGGGCTGAAGGACCCCGAGGAGCTGCGCAGCTACATGGAGAGGATCCGGGGCAGCTCCTGACCCCTCCCCAGCCTGCCTGGCCCCGTGTCGTCGCCACCAGCCCAGGCAGCTCCCGCTCACCCTCCGGTGCCGGCCGATCCACGTCCCCTGCCTGGTCCCTCGCCGGGGACTCCCAGCCAGGCCCCCTCTGCCCTGCCCCTTGTCATGGACCGTGGTCATGAGGAAGGGCTCACGCCCCTTATTTATGGGAACCATTTCATCCTGATGTCGGGTACAGAATAAACGAGGGAAAATCCAGCCGAGACTGCAGCTGTCTGGTCCGGGAGACCGAAGAGAGGGGATGGGTCGGGACGCGCTCAGCCCCTGTCTCTGCCGGAATGGCTCGGGGAGGCTGGGCCGGGCGCCGCCCTCTCGTAGCGCCTGGCGATCCAGATGAACAGGAGGGCCGTGGCGGCCTGGATGCCGGCCAGCAGGAAGAAGTAGTAGTCCATGCGGCAATAGTTGATATTCCCTGGGGAGGGGAGGGTCATGCTGGGTCAGGGCCGGGCTCCCCTGGGGGCTGGCAGCCGAAGCAAGGTGGGCAGTGGGTGGGTCTGAAGACACAGGGCAGACAGCCCTGAAGCATCTGCGGCCCCGGGGGCTCTGATGCCCAGTCGCGAGTTCAGACAGGGGCCGCGGGAAAGGCCGAACGGCAGACTCAGATGTAGGAAGGACCCGCATGTCACTGAATTCACTGCTCTTGGACATTTGGGGAGACGGAGGCGCCAGAGGGGAGGCCACGCTGTGAGGGACTGGCCATGTTGGCACTAGAACCCCTTCTCCTGAGTCCAGCCTGCTCCTCCTTTCTGCCCGGGCCCAGCGGTTGCTGTCCCCTCTCCACGCCCCCCTCCACCCAGGGCCCCTGCCCCGCACTCACCAAAGTCCTTGGGGCAGTACATCCAGGCCAAGGCCGATGGGACCGCCAGCAGGGCCAGCAGGCCGGAGCCCAGCAGCGAGCCCAGCCCCGACAGGAAGAAGAAGATGCCCATGATGGCGCCCTGCATGGAGCGAGGGGCCGCTGAGTATGCAAACTCCAGGCCTGCGGAGGGAGGAAGGACCCGGGGTGTGCAGGCGCAGAGAGACGCCCCGGCCTGCACGAGAGCCCCCAGCCAGCCTCACCCTGGCTTCCCGGATGGCCTCCCACTCCGTGGCTGTCAAGCACCGCGCACCACATCGCACCTCACCCCTGCCCTGCTCGCCCACTGCCTGGCAGGCCACCTCCACCCATGCGCCCCAACCTACCCCCCAGCTCTGACTCCCTTGCCCTGGGTCTCCCATCTGGGTGCCAGAGGTCGCCCACACCCTAGCCAGCACCATCTTCACCGCCCCCCAACTTCTCGCCCACCCTCAGTGTCGGCACCAGTGCTGTTCTTACTTTGCTTTTGTTTTTCATTGTTTTTATAATTTTTCGTCATAAACATTTTTTTCCCCCTCCCTTTTCTTTCTTTTAAATCATGTTGATTCCACCTCAGAAATCTCAGTGTCTGCCCTCCTCTCTGTTGCCTCTGACCTGGACCAACCCTCTCCCCCAGCCCTCCACCCCTGTCATTTCCTGCGGGGGGGCCCCTGCAAATGCCTCTCCAGCTCCCCTGTCTCCAGTCCTGCTCACCCAGCAGCCTCTGTCTAAAACCCCTCTAATGGGTTCCTTTCCCTCCCACAAGCCTCTTGGGGGCTGGGCTGTTGCTCTCGGGAAGAATCTCAGTGTCCTCAGGGCTCAGCCCACAGGCCCTGCGTTCTGAGCCCAAGACCAGCTCTTTGCTCAGGTGTCCCTTGGCCAGTGAGGTCTTGCTGCCACCTGCTGCGCCCAGCTCACCTGCCCTGCCCCAGGGCTTCCCAACACTTGGCTTCACTCGTGGGTTACAGTATGATCTCGGTCCCCCACCCCGAATGAACCACCTAGTCTAGCCCTGGGCCTGGCCCAGCTTCTTGGCCGAGAGAAGAGCCTGCCCCAGCCTGCAGGGACTAGACATATAAATGTGATTACAACACAGCAACCTGTGTGCCCTGAGAGTGATGGGCAAAGCGGGGGGTGGGAGGGACAGCCGTGGGACCTTGCCGAGGGCCTCCCGGAGGAGGTGATATTTAGGCATGGAACTGTAGAAGAAATCAAAGCTCGCTTTCCCTTTGAGGCAGAGGGAACAGCAACTGCACGGACAGGGTAGGGCGGGGTACTGCAGGGGGCGCGGGGATATGGGAAAAGTGGGATAAGAATGTCTTACTCACCTCCAAACCCCCACTGCTTCTCTGGCGCCTGACATGAACTAAGTGCTGATAAATCCTGCCAGGTGGCTGCAGCCCCACTAGAAAACCCTTTCTCCCTCCACGCAGGTGAGCTCCGAAGGCCCACCATAGGTCTCTGCCTTTCGCTGCTGCGAGGCTGGGCATGGGGCTCGGATACCTGGAATGCTGGCAAAAATCTCGCTGATCCCAATGAGCAAGTACTGAGGGATCTGCCACCAGATGGACAGTGGCGCGGCGTCGTATATTTCCTGGCCGATCTGCTGGGGCACCGTCTGATTTCGCTGGATGTATTTTAGGCGCTCCATCTCCAGGACTCCTGGTGCAGGGAGGGCAGAGAGAGACTACAGACAGGCCCACTCCGGGCAGCGGGGCCCACGGCAGGGCTGGCATTGGCTATGTAGCCAGTGGCTGGCTGGGCATTGGGTAAGGAGAATAATCCCTGCAAAGGGGAGGGGGTGTCAAGATTTGGTTTTCTGCCTCTTCCATTTTTGCCTTGACTGCTCGGAAGCTCAGCTTGGTTTTGAACTCAAAAGCAGCAAGAGGTCTCACTGAGAGCCTGTGACGCGGTAAACACTTCATATGCATTCTTGCAGGTGAAAAAATAGAAAAATTTTTCTGCCTCCACGCAGGTCGTGGAGGCTGGATTTGAGCCCCAGTGTCTGGGTTCAGAGCCGGTCCACTGTCTCGGGATAACACATGTCTCCTCTACCGCGGCTCCGGTGCTCCAGGGGGATTTCTAACCTGACTTTCAAGTTCAGCTGTTTCATCTCCTTTCCCTTCGAGCACAGCTTAGCAGACAGCTGAGCTCAAGTGGGGTGAACACTGGGCGGAGCTAGGTGACTTGGGATCCCATCCTGGCCCTGCCACGGACTAGCCTTGTGACCTTGGGCAAGTCACTCGACCTCTCCGGGACCAGTTCCCTTATGCAAGGAGCAGGAATAAACATCCCGGGATTATTGGGAGGATGAACTAAGACAAAAGACAGTAAAACCGGCAGCAGAAAAAGCACCTCGTTTGATTTTCACCCATTCAGCTGACTGAGCTTGGGTTTCTCCAGCTCCTACTTGTGACCCAGGCTGGGTGCCAGCGGCGTTAGAGACTTCATGTCCTTCAGTCCTCACAAGGGACGAAGTCTCCCGAGGACAGAGTTGGCCCTGCACCCAGTCTGGTGACTCACTACCCCTGTTACAAAGATGAGGTTCAGGGACTCTAAGTAACTTCAGGATCATTCAGTTACTAGGCGAGAAGGGCTGGGGGTTGTGCAATAGCAGGAAAGGCTGCTTTCCTGCAGTCCTTCATTATCTGCGGCTTTGAATCCTTTCGAAACAGAAGAAGGAAGAAATTAAGTAATACTTTTAAAAGGACATCCCCATAGGCCACAAAGTGCCTGTGCATCTTTGGAAAATTCATTTAACACATTTATCGCGTGGCCACATGCACTTCATGTGAGTGAACAAAAAAGGAAACAAAATCTGCCTTTGGGAGCCTTATATCCTGCTGGGGAAGGTCTTTTTCCTTCTCTTGGCTTGAGTTTCCACATCTGTCAGAATGAGGGGAGGCTGGACTCTATGAGACAGGGCTCCTTCAGCTCCTGCCTTTTGGGAAACTGAGACAGGCCTGTGAGGTGGGAGGGGGTGCTTGGCCAGGCCCCCCACCCTGTTCTGGAGGGAGGCCAGTCCCCTCCCCATGCCCTCAGGCCACACACCTGCCACAATGACTGAGGCGAAGCCAAAGAACATGCCCAGAGCCATCTTCTGCAGACTCGAGGGGAGCAGCTGGCACCGCAGCAGTAAGGGGTCGATCAGGTGGTCCTTCACGGGCACCAGGATCAGCACCACCACGACGTTGGCCAGCAGGATCCAAGCTTCCGGGATCTGGGCAAGAGGGAGCCAGAGAGGTGGCCTAGCTGGGCGGAAGGCGCTCGGGGCTGGAGTCAGGAGCTCCGGAATCCTAGACTCTAGACATCTCCCGGGGACCCAGAATCAGGCCTTTGCCTCCCCAGATGCACATTCCTAGGAGGTGGGACTAGATCAGGGCAGGAAGCAGCTCCTCTAATTCCTACCTGAAACATTCAAGAGCTCAGCATGGAGGCAGATTGATTAGTGATGTCTGCCCCGTGCAAGGCAGGGAGGTACGTAGAAAAATACGTCATTTGCCTGCCAAGCTGAAGACCTATGACTTGGTGAGTCTCTGACATGCCAAGGAACTGTTTTGGAAAGTGCTGGTGAAAGGCAGAGATCTGGGCAGCCAGTGGTCCCAGTGAGGGAGGGAATGAGGTGGGCTGCAGGAGGGACAGACTGTGCTGGGTCGGAGGGCACAAGCCAGTTAGCCAGAGCCATTCCAGGGCAGCAGCAGTGGGAGGATAGCTGTGAATTCTTTTGCATCTCCTGGCAGGAAACATGGGCTGTGATCTGAATCACAGGTGATTTTCCTGCACCCTGAGGACACCCTGTGCTGGGGAGGGGGAGAGTGGAGGCAGCTCCATTTCCTCTCCAGAGGAAGCCCCCAGCCTGGGAGCTGAACACACCCTCACTCACCCTGTAGGTGTGGCTCTGGGCTCTCAGAACCATGGAGCTATTGATGGATTCTTGGAAAATGTTCGGGATTTTGAGGTGAAGGCCTTGTAGGACGTACGTGGACTGCATCTGTGAAGGGAGAGGGAGACAAGGCTGGAGCCAGCAGCCCCCTCGCCAACAGCCCAGGACACGCATCCGTCAGTGGTTGGCACGCGGCTGCCAGGCAGTTATCCCTCCTCTAGCCCTGGAGGCGAGGGAGAGCGACTCTCCCACCCACCACCCTCCTTGGAAGCCAGGTTTAGTCTGGGGGCTGCCTTCCAGGCACATGAGCTGTGTGTGCGGCCTCAACCAGCGCTTGGGCACAGCTGGTCTGAGTCATTTGTGTCTCCAGGCCCTGGCCCAGAGCGGCGTGGGTAAATGTTCGCTGACACAGGGACGGTAATGATGAGGCTGAGCGCACAGGGAGTTCTCATCTGATGCTGAAGCCAAGCTGAGGCCAACAGGTTGACACAGCCAGGAAGGTGCAGCCCATGGGTGGCCCAGGAGGCAGGTGCAGGCCCAGGGGGTCCTGCCATGGTAGACATGGGCGCTTCAGCTGCTACACCTTGGAAGGGAGAACCCCACAGGAGGGTGTGGGCCAGCGGACACTTGGGTTGCTCAGGAAGCACAAATACCATCCCCCATGTCCCCGTCCTGTCCTGGACATCCTCTACCTCTGTGCCACCCGTAGCAGGCTGGCCTGCGTGACCCCAATCTTCTGCAGCTTTAAACAAGATTCTTCTGAGGGGTTATAGAGGCAATGACCTTGTGGTCTAGGGCTTAGGGCTGGGGTTAGGCTCCTGCTCACTCTACCGACACACACACACACACACACACACACACACATTGAGTTAACCTTCCCTTTGGGGAGTGCTGGGAAGGTTTGAGAGCCTGGCTGGACTTGCCCTGAGGATGGGCCTTGGGAATCTCTGTTTTCCTTCTTCCTCTCTCCCCACCATGCCTTAAGCCCCTTGACCCCTTCTCGCTCCTCACCCCCTCACTTAGCCTCAGACACCTCTTCTGGGGCTTCCCCTTTGAGTGTCCACTAGCTGACGCTTACTTTGCTTGGTTAATTCATCAGCTTTGATTCTTTGTTTTTCTCACACCTATGAAAATGCCCAATATCTGTCTGTATTTTTCTGACTTGCTTTACTACACATAATTCCCTCGAACCCCTCCTACTTTGCTGTAAAAGATGATTACTTTGTCTTTCCCTGTAACTGAGAAGCATTCCATTGTGTAGGAGGCCATATCTTCTGAATCCAGTCCTCTAACAGCAGGCCCTTAGGCTGCTTCCGTAAGAATCTGTATTTTCTAAAAGCTCTGCAGGTGATTCTGAAGCCCGGCCAGAGGAGAACCAAGGTCCCCAAAGCCCAGAGCTCACCCCTAACTTGCTGCAGGGTCTTGGGGAACCATCACACCTTCTCTGGGCCTCTGCTGCCAAGATGGAGAATTTAAAGGCCATAGAGCTGTCAGGGCCTCCAGTCTAAGCCGCCCGCTTTACATGTGAGGACTCTGAGGCCCAGAGAGGAGGGGTGACTGCTTCAAGTCTCCAAACCTCAGACCTGTCTCCAGAGTCCCTCCTGCTATGCCACTCACAGGGGTTTCACGACAGGCTGGCTTCATGCCCAGCTCCACACCATCCACTACACAGCAGCCATCACTGCCCCCAACCTGCCTCTTCCTGCATCCTCTGGGCTCCCAGGGTGAGACCTGGAAGCATTGTGGGTGCCAGGCCCCCAGAGTAAAGGGCGGGGGGCCCACCTGGAAGTACACCATCCAGTAGGGCACCAGCGTCACCATGACGGGCAAGACCTTCACCAGCACCTGGAAGTTGATGATGTCCTCTTGTGGAGAAGGGCCAGGCTGGGGAGTCCTCTGGTCAGGCAGCAGCTGGCCCTCTTCAGGGTCTCTGGGGAGCAGATGAAGGCCAGCTATCATTAGCACAGCTGCCCACTGTTGGCACCTCCACCATCATCCCCTAACTTTTTTTTTAAGATTTATTTATTTATTTATTTATACAAGAACCAGGGTACAGGCCAGATGCATGGAAGGGTGAGAGGATTCACCAGAGACAGAGCGGGGAACAGAACAGGCAGAATGACGAAGTACACTGCTGAGGGGAGCAGCGGGCACGACAGGAGAGGTTCACCATCATCCCCTAACTTAACCCTACTCCCCTACCGCCAGTTGCCATAGCCCCCTTCTCTAAAATCACCACCCTCATCCCCTCCACTCCACCATCAGTGTCACCGTTGCCATGGTGACCATCATCACCAACACCAGCATCCTCCACCTCAGCCCCGCTGCTCACAGCCTCCCCTACTGCCACGGCCATCACCACCGCCGCTGCCATCTCCACTGTAGGTGGTAGCACCTTCATCACCCCTGTTCTATGACGACCTTCACTGTCAAGGCCATGAACGTCATTATTCTTATGCTGCACTCTGTGGTTAGACTGCATGAGGCAGAAGACAGGGTCCGGCGAGTCTCAGGAAGCTCCACGGCATTGGACATGAACTGAGCCTGAGGCTGACCAAGTCATTAAAAAGGAACATTTTCTCCCTGGAGATGCGGGGCTGGGTCACCGGCCCACACGCTGAGAGTGACTGTCCCTGTCTACGCGAAGGAGCTCCTCCCCAATATGCACTTTAGATGAAATAAAGTTGTCACCACTAACAAACCCTTTCGGCTAATGACCCAGAACCCCTCGTGAAGAGGTCACCGGCACGAGGAGATCACGGGTCTGAGATGGAGGAATCTCGTGGAAAGAAGAGCAGAGAATGGTCCCAGCCTTTTAATGATGCCGGGTTAAAACTGCTTAAACAGAACCTCCACCAGCTTCCCGGGAGCCCACAGACCCTGCCCCTGGGGCTGACTCCCTTAGCCCCAATTACACGCACTTTAACAGATTCTTAACCTGATGCCTGCAGGATTAGAATCTGCATTATTTCCATTTCTCGCAAAACCCAAAAACCCACAATCCAGTGACAAGCCCACTGCCAGCCAGCACCTTGACCTCATTGCCACGCTCAGGAGCAGTGGGCAGCTCGGGCCCACTGGAGAGCAGCCCCACACAGGGCCAGGAGTGGAGCTGAGCCAGGACGCCTTCAGCCTGACCGTGTCACCCCAGAAGCACAGCACTTCTCCAGACCCCGAGGCCCCCTTCGCCCAGAGCCCCCACCTTACCGGGCAAAGCATCGCCACAGCCTGGGACAGCAGTTCTGGATAGCAAGCTTAAGCATCGAGGACACTTGGCTGCCTGTGGGGGGCTTGGTGATGAAGATGGGGCTGGCAAAGAGGAAGATGAAATAGGCCAGGGTCACAAAGCCCACGGGAATGCAGTAGCCCAGTATTAAGTTGATGTTCTGTTGGATAAAGGCCACCACCAGCAGCGACAGCACGGCCCCCACGTTGATGCTCCAATAAAGCCAGTTGAAGAAGCGGCGGGTGGCATGGCGGCCAAGGTCCATCACCTGCCGGGCAGGGGTGAGAGTGAGGGCCACGGTGGTCCAGGACCAGGAGGCTGGACGTATTCTCTGTTCCTGTACCCTCACTCCTGCAGAGACACTTCCTGAGTCAGTGGGTGGGCATTCTGGCATGTTCCTAGTCTCTGATCACTAAATAGACATTCAATAAATAGCTTCTGAATGAATGAACCCTTCTCCTGGGAGCCACTTGCTAATGGCCAGGACATTTTGGCACAGCTGTTTTCTCATGCCCACGGCACACATCGCATTTTTATTGCCACCGTGTCATGCCCACAACAGATGTCTCCGATGTCACTTTATTCATTTCTAGTTGATTTATCCTTCTGCCTTTTTTCTGAGCAACCTATGGTAGCTTTTATAATCAGAGAAAAAGCCAATAAAGATCTCAAGTCTGCTCCATGCTGTTACAAATGATGAATGCACATTGCGAGAAGAAGTTAACAATGTAATTGAGAATTTCCTCTGCAGTTTGGAGATGCAAACTTTTTTATTAATTTTTTATATATTTTTATTATTTTATTTATTATATATTATTATATATTTATATATTAATATATATAAATATATTATTATATATTTTATTATATTATTTATTATATATTTTTTATTAATTTTTTATATAATCAAGGAAAGTAGAGGTGGGCCTGAACACAGCCCCAAGAGCTGGTTCTCGCCTGCTGGGGAAAAAAATCAGGGCCCCTAGCAAGGGCAGAAGGGCAGAAAAATCTCTGTGCAGATTTGGATCAATCTGTAGCCCTCAGGCCCCAGGCCCCCTCTGGACTCCCACTGGAGGTCAGCGACATTGGCTGCGACATTGGTCAGCGACATCTCCCTGACTCTGACCCCAGATTCTGACCCAGCAGGTCTGGGGCAGGGCCCAGGCATCTGCATTTTTAAAAAGCAAGGTGGTCTGGTGGTTGTTTCTCTAGTCAGGGATTGTGGGCATTGTTAAACCCATTGCCCTTGAAATGACCCCCACATCTCAGCCTCCATCATTCCCCTTCCACCCAGCGATACTTATTTCCACGAGCTAAGACCTTTTGTCAAGGTTTACTTTCTGTAGCTGTACTGACAGGGTGGGGGGAGTCAGGACTGTGTTCTTTTTCCAAATGTAAAATTATAATCCACACAGCAGCACCTGAAACTGCAGTCCCTCGGAGATGCTGAAGGGGCCTGTGGGGGGTGGGGCGTGTCCTCTCACTGAGAAGCCTTGCTCTAGACTTTCAAGCAGAAAATTGAATAAGTCCCACTAGGAGTAGCCGTTTCTGCTGATTAATTGGATGTAAATGAGTGTGACAATTGCAGCTCTGAGGGGAAGCCCCGAGAGCCGGTCTGGATGTAATGAGCTCCCCCTAAGCGAACACTTCCTGATGATGGATGGCCCTTCCTGAAATCAGCAAGTGTGCTAAGCACGTGGCTCCTGGGTGTAGCTGCCTGCCAGATGGTGCCGCTCCTCCCACCCCATGCCCCCCATCTGACCGCCCCCCAAATCCCACGGCAGCCCCTCCCACACCCTGGCACCCCCACTCTTGTCTCTCTCATCCACTCTCGACACTGGCAGAGCCCCTTCCAAAAAACTCTAGGCCTTTAATGCCCATCCCTGCCTCAATTCATTTCAGGTGCAGGCCTTTCGCCAGGCCTCTCCCCACCCCAAGTTCATGCTCAGTAATGGGAGAGTGCGTAGGAGCTGTTGCCACTGTAGGGGACACTGGGGCTCTGTTCTGCCACCACAAGGAGGGAGACACAGGAGGCACTGGGTGACAGGGTTTCTGGAGGCCAATGAGGGTCAAGGGCACAGGTTAAAGGCACCAGGCGTGTGGTGAGATACAATAAGAGTAGAATTAGGGGAAGTGAGGGGCTCCTATTGGCAGATGCTGAGGGTCTCCTGGTTGGAAGGAAGGTCATCTGTGGCTGAGCAATGAGCCAGGCTGCCCTGGGGGGCACTGAGTTCCACATCCTCAGAGGAACCCAAACCGGAGGGGTGAGTAACTCCTTGGCAAGGGCACCGGAAACTGTGCTGGGTGCTGAGTGGCAGATGCCAGCTGGATGCAGTGATTCTTTTAAAAAATGGGCTCCTTTATGATGATGAAACATGTCACTAAAACGTCTGGAAAATGGAGACGATTGGGGGGAAATTAATTAGGCCAGGGGCCTGATTACACTCGCTGATTTTTCCTTTTTAATGGAATCCCTTTCACGTGGCAATAACTGCTCCCCTCTGCAGCTCTGCGTCCTTTTTGCACCGTAACACTGTTTGCAGTTTAAATAATCATATGATGGATTGTTTAAAATTATCGTTCAATATCCCACTGAGTAGAGTACCTGAAGGAAGCCCCACTGAAGTATTTACTCATTCATTTAGCAAATGTCTACTGAGATTCTCCTGTGAGCCGTGCTGTCTAAGGGGCGCAGACAAAGGCTCAGAGGTCACCTGTGTGTGTCCAGCGGACGGCGCTGGAATCAACGCAAGTCCACTGACAACCTCTCATGCTGGTAGGAAGAGGCTTGGTCCTGCCCAGGAGCCAAGGCCTAGAACACACCCCGATGCAGGCGCAGCTCGCAGTGGACGTGGAGTCCAGCCACGTGGACCTGTTCTGTATGTGAACCTGAACATGTTAACCCTGAATGCCCAGCGTCCCCATCTTTAAAATGGACATCCTAACTCCACCCACTGTCCGAGTAGCTGGAAGAATGAGTGGACAGCAGAGGGGGGCTGGCCTAGTCAGGGAAGGCCCAGTGTGGTTAGAGAGTGTGCCCCTCCTTACTGTTGTGGGAATCAGCACCCCCTCTTCTTTCAAACAAGGAAACTGGGGGAAAGGGAAGTGGTTTGTCCGAGGTAACGCTGGGGGCCCGGCCTCCTGACTCAGGGGCCTCCGTCCCCGGCTATGGCACTCGCGCACCCTCTTGCCACTCACCTGGTCGGCGCCGAAGGAGGTGAGGTTGCTCCTGATGGAGCTGGCGGCCAGGGCGAGCACCAGCAGCCCGACGTAGAGGGTGGGTGCGCAGTAGGGCTTGGGCCAGTCGAGTTGGCAGCCTGGTCCGGTGCAGGGGGTGGACAGCGGATACAGGGGCTTCTCCCCGCAGAAGGAGGTGTGGTAAATGGCGGCGGCGGGCAGCAGGCTGGCGGCGGCCAGGTAGAGCAGCAGGCTGAGCGTGATGGCGTTGTGGCGACCCAGGTACACGTCGGCCAGCCAGCCGCCCACGGGCGCCAGCAGGTAGGACGCGCCCAGGAAGACCAGGGCTGCGGAGGACGCCTGGCTGCCGGCCCAGTTGAAGTGGCCGCTGTTGAGGTACAGCACGAGGTTGGCGGACACCCCGAAGAAGGCGGCCCGCTCCAGCGTCTCCACCAGCAGCACCGCGGCCACCGCTGTCCTCCGCCGTGGTCGGGGCACCCGGGGAGGAGGGCGCAGCAGCGGCTGACGCTCCCCCGGGACACGCAGCCTGGGCATCCTGGGCCTCCCCGCTGCCCTCTTCACCCTCACTTGCCAAGCTTCGTCTGTCCCCTGACCCCGGACACCCCACTCCTCTCCCTCCTCCCCAAGCTGGCCGCCCTCCGTTCTCACCCCCTCCTGCTCCCTCGGCACTCCCTCTTCACCCTGAATTCCTCTCTCCCTGGGGTCTCTGCTGCTGCCACCCAGATGCTACCCCCGTTCCTACTTCCCCGGGCTCTCCCCTCGGCTCTCCCCGCTGCTCCCCTCCCTCCGCCCACCTCCCTCCCAGGCCCCTGGCCGCTCTCTGCCCTCCTCCTCCTCCCGGCTGGTCTCTCAGCTCGTCACCTCCCCTGGGGTCCCTGCTCCATGCTCTGAGGCCAGGGGCTTTCTCACAGGGGCTCCTTCTGCCCCCTGCCCCCCAGCGCTGCGGTGGCCTCTGCCTCCTCCCTGCCTCCCCCCGCAGCCTCCCCCTCCCTAGCCGCTGGCTCGGCTCTGGGCTCAGCCTCTGTCCAGCCTCTGCCTCTTGAGAACCTCCGCGTGCCCCTCACTTCCCCTTTCACCGCCCCCACTGCTGCTCCGCCGCGTCACATGGTGCTGTGGGGAAAGCCGGGGTCACAGGTCCCTGCTCGCCAGGCCTCGAAACCCCCCCTCTTTCCTCTGCCTGCTGCCCCACCCCCACTCTGTGGGCCAAGTGACCGTCTGGAGGGCTGCGGTCCACCTTTCACTTTCATTTCTTCCAGATCCCTCCCTGGCTGCTTCCTCTCCAGCCACAACCCCACCCCGCAAGGATGGCCCTGGGCAGCCACCCGCAGCCTTGGGCCCACCCGCCCTCTTCGCAGGTGCCGAGGTTGAGGCCCAGGGGACGGTGGGGGCGGTGGCGACCGGTTCAGGACCTGAACTGAACTAGGGGCAAAGTGTTCTCCCCTCCTGAGGGGCCGGGAGGCCATTCGGATTGTGCAAATGCTGTGCGGAAGGAAGCAGGGCGCCTGCACGGGCCTGGGGCGCAGGAAGCCCAGCAGTGAGCTGAGATTGAGAGGGACGCAGACCTCGGGCTGTCGCCATCCAGCCTCGGCACACTCCTCAGAGCCCGGCCCCGGCCCTGGAGGCAGAGCCAGCCCTCGCCTGACCCCAAAGCCCAGCGACAGGGGCCCCTGCCCACTGACCACCTCCCCCCGCCCCAGCCCACTGGGCCAGCCCCGCTCTGCATCCCTCCCGTGGCGAGTCCTTCCTGCCTCAGGACCTTTGTGTCTGCTGTTTCCTCTGCCAGAACTGCTCTTCCTCCGTCTCTGCTTGTCTGGCCTCTTCTCCTCACCAGGCTTCAGCTGGGACATCTTCACAGAGACCTTCCTGGTCATCTCACCTAAGCAGATCCCCGCCGATTCTCAGTGATCCGTCATCACGCGTTGTCCTGAGGGAAGGTGTGCGGAGCACACGATACTCACTCAATGACTGGCTTACTGTCTTCCCAGTGGAACAGAAGTTCTGTAGGATCAAGGACCTTGTCTAACTCTTAAGATTATTTTTTAGAGTCGTTTTACGTTTAGAACAAAATTGAGAGGGAGGAATAGAGATTTTCCACACACTCCCGACACCCTCACCTCCCTGGAGTCAACATCGCTCACCAGATGGTACTTTTTTTTTTAACACCAACGATGATCCTACATCACCCAAAGGCTACACCTTAGGGTTCACTCTTGGTTTTATCCATTGCGTGGGTTTGAACGATGTGCCCAGCGTGACAATATGGAGCATTTTCACTGCCTTAACAATCCTCTGTGCCCTCCCTATTCCCCCGCCCCCTCCCTGGCAACCTCTAAACTTTTGACTGTCATGCTTTGCACAAGGTTGGCTCACACAATCAATAACCTTTTGGACTGGCTTCTCTCACTTGGCAGTGAGGTTTCCTCCATACCACTTATGGCTTCATCAATCATTTCTTTTCAGGGTTGAGTAATCCATGTGTGCAAGGGCCACTGTGTGCTTATCAGTTCATTTATCCAAGCACACCTTGTTTGCTCCTGGGCTTTGGCAATTATTAATAAAGCCACTATAAACATTCACGTGCGGGGTTTTTATGGACACTCATCTTCAGCTCCTTTGGGTAAAATACCAGGGAACATGATGGCTATATCATAGGGTAAGTGTATGTTTAATATTGTAAGAAATTACAAAGTCTCTTCCGAGGTGGCAGCACCATTTTGCATTCCCACCAGCAATGGATGAACATTCCTGTTGCTCCACATCCTGCCTCCCCTGCTCCCCAGCATGCGGTGGTGTCTGTTCTCCTTGTGCATCCTCACAGGTGTGTAGTTGGGGGTCTCCTGTCTTCATTTGCACTGCCCCGCAGACATATGATGTGGAGACTCTTCTTCTATGCTTATCTGCTGTCTGTTATCTTCCTTGGTGAGGGTCTGCCCAGGAGCCAGAGTGGGTGACTAGGGGATGCCCTGGGGACTGATTTAGCTGGGGAGTTTTCCCTCTTAAAGGACACAGGAAGTAATGTTCTGAAGATAAAGACTGTCCTTAAACGTGAATTACCAGGCCAGTTAAATGTGAATTACAGCATCGGGGCTGGAAAGCAGAGGTCTAGGCTGAGACCAGCACGTGGTCCATCACCACAACTCACAAACACATGTGGTTTGGTCCACAGAGCATTTGGCCGCACAGTGTGAGGTATTGTTCTTGCTTTTGTTCTTGTTGTTGAATTACATTTCTAAAAACTTATTTCCTTAAAACTTCAGAAATGTTTACATGGAAGTTTAGATGGCTGGCTACTCTTGAAATTGGTGGGGGGGTGGGCAGAAGTGGGTGACCCTAGGCCCGCATGCTCGCTGGGAACCCAGTGGCAACAGCGCCACAGTGCAGGGGCGCTGCGGTGGGCCTCAGTCGGAGGCTGGAGGGACAAGCCTTTCCACCCGCACAGCGAGCTGCTGTGATCTTGAATGTGAGGAGTGTGAGGCTGCACCCTCAGCCAGCCTTCATGGAAGGGGCGGATGGGGTGTTTGATGGAAGTGGCTTCTCTGTCTCCCAAGTCCTCCTGACAGCACTCGGCCAGGACAGGTGAGAGAGGCCAGCTGGTGGGGAGTCCGGAAGCAAGGCTCACCTCACCTGTTAGGGCCACAGACCCACCTGCTAAAACCCAGCATAGTTTCTTGATGTGGCTGAGAAAAGGAAGTGGTGATGCTTCATCTGACTTGTAGTTTCCAGGTAGGTTTCTCAGCGATGCCTGCGCTGTCCTACTTGGTCGCCCAGAGGGTAGAGTCCCCGCAGGCACCATCCAAGCACAGCCTGGTCCTAAGCCTGTAAGGACGGCTGTGCAGTGGCTGGTCCAGGTTACCTCCCAAGCCTGCCTGAGGCCTGTCACACTCCTGCAGGACAAGGTCGGTGTGTACCTGCATGGCCAGGTCTTCCGCCTGGTCTTATACCTGTAAGGGATCCTGGGCTTGAGGATGGATAGGAGCCAAAAAGATAGAGCCACCTGGATGAAAGCCTGGTCACCATGGAACCATCCTTTTTTAAGGATGGCAACGTTCTGGGCAATTCCAGATGGTGCAGACACTGGTCCTCAGCAGCTTCTATGCTGGGAGTGGTCAGTACCCACCTGCCTGGTGTTAGCAGGTGTGCCAAGAATTCACCCACCGTGGAAATGTCCCCATAGAACTTGCATTTTCGGGCTACACTCCATCAGGTGTAGCTGAGAAGGCTGAGAAGGGTTTTTTTAGTCCGCTCCTGTGGCCACTGGGACAGCCGGGTGCCTTGTGGGAGTAGGATGGAGCCGACATGTTTCCAAGTTCAAGACGGGAATGAATGAGGGGAACATTCCCAGGGCCACAGCTGAAGGTGGGGCATGGACTGCAGACAGGCGTGTGGCGGGCCAGGACCCCCAGGGGAAGAGGCACTGGAGAGGCATTCTGGCACTGTCTCCCCTGTCCCCATTAACATCCCTGAGATGAGTAAGAACATCCACAAGATAGGGTTTGGGGGGGCATTGGCATTTTCTGATAATAGTTGTTACATATTATTTCCTTTTCTCAAACATCCATTCTTTTTTTTTTTTAATAATAAATTTTATTTTTATATTCCCCCATACAATTGCAAACGCCCCATTCTGACCCCAATCCTTCCCCTCCCGCCCCCCACCCCCCAAAAAAGTGTCTCTGGTTCATAGTTTTTTGTTGATTTTGATTTTCACTTTCTTATATTCATTTTCCTGGTCCCTTATTTAAGTTTTCTAGATTCCTGCTATGAGTGAGACCATCCGGTATTTTTTTTTTTTTTATGCTCTGTTGCAGCATGTTTTATTTTTTTTATTTTTATTTTTTGAGTTTTTTTTTTAATTAATAAATTTTATTTTTATATTCCCCATACAATTGCAATCCCCCCATTCTGACCCCAATCCCTCCCCATCCGGTATTTTTCTTTTTCTTTCTGGCTTATTTTGCTGAGCATGATCCCTTCCAGCGCCATCCATGTTGCTGCAAATTGCATGTGTTTATCTTTTTTTGAAGGCTGAGTAATATTCCATGGTGTGTATGTACCACATCTTCTTGATCCAGTCATCTATTTTTGGGCATTTGGGTTGTTTCCAAAGCTTAGCTATTGTAAACAGTGCTGCTATAAACATAGGGGTGCAGGTGCTCTTTGGAATTGATGTCAAACATCCATTCTTAACAACATTTTAGGAACCCTAGTATAGCTGCCCCCTGCTTCAGGGTGCTATCCGTGCTCCTACCTGCAAGTCCCACTGATTTTGCCCAGTAATGCTCTCCCTTCCATTGAGCTCCGCCATTTTGGGCAACCATTGTTCCCTGCTGGGACCACTGCAGTAGCACCTTTCATGACCAGCATGCCGTTCATGTTCAGCACCATGATCAGAGTACCTGGAATGCTTCTAGGGCTCCCTGAGTATTCAGACTCCTTGGTCTGGCTATGAGGGCTTGCCAAGCTTAAATCTCTTTCCTGCCAACTCTCAAGCCTCATTTCTTGTAGCTCCCTCTCTCTACCCCCCACCCCACTCTACCTTTCACCTGCAGCCAATTTCCAGACCTTTCTCTCATCTG